GAAGGACACGCTGGCGCCCGCGTGCCTCGCAGACGTGAAATGGGCAGCGGCGGCGGGGTTATCCTTTGGTTCGGCAAGGAAGGCCTCGAAATTGACATACTGAATATCAGAATCGGTTTGAACCAAATGCATCGACGCACCCCTGCCCCTCCCGTCGCCTCGGGGGCGCTCGCGACGAAGACGCTGGGCGATATGGCAGATATCACATTCGATGGTTTTCCGGTTTGCATCCTCCCGGGTTACCCCGACGTCCCTTACTTTTTTTTTCCCAGAGGTGAGCCTGCAACCTCTGCGCCTCCCCGGAAAGTTTCCTCGTGCTGTGGCCCCGTAAGGGGGGCCAGGAATGTTCGCGTGCCTCTACCATGCAACCGTCGTCGGATCCCCATTGCCTCTACCTTTACCCTCTTCGACTGAGCGCGCGTCGGACCGCGCGTCGCGCCCTTCGGACTGGTTCCTTCATGAAGCGCCCCCATCGGCGCCCATGTCTCTGATGGCCCAAGAACGCCTATATGACCATGGCTCGGGCGACGAGGAGGTGGCGGGGGAAGGGGGGGGGGGGGCAACGTCTGACTCCATCGATCTCGCTATCGATTTCAATCAACGTGTTACCACGGGACACCGCGGGACGCGCGTCGATCTCACTATCGATCTCACGATCGGTCTTTCTCAACGGGGAACCGCGGGGCACCGCGCCGCGGGCCGCCGCGGGACACCGCGGGGCACCGCGGGACACCTCTCGATCTCGCTATGGGTCTGACGACCGATCTCCCTATCGATCTCGCGATCGATGTCGCTCCACGGGGCGCCGCGGGCCACCGCGGGGCACCGCGGGGCATCTCCCGATCTCACTATCGGTCTCACCATCGATCTCACCATCGATCTCACGCAAGGGTAACACCATAGGACACCGCGGGACACCTCGGGGCACCGCATTGATCTCACCACTGATCCCGCTATCGATCTCACCATCGATCTCGCTCGACGGGGCGCCGTGGGACACCGCGGGACACCTGTCGATCCCACCCTCGATCTCACCATCGACCTCGCTACATGGAACACCCCGGGACACCTTGGGGCACCGCGTCGATCTCGGCGTCGATCTCACTATCGATCTCACAATCGATCTCGCTCGACGGGGCACCGCGGGGCACCGCGGGGCACCTGTCTATCTAACTATCGATCTCACGACCAATCTCACTCAAGGGGGGCGCCGCGGGGCACCTCGGGGCGCCGCGTCGATCTCAGTATCGATCTCAGTATCGGTCTCATTATCCATCTCACTCAACGGGACACCTCGGGACACCACGGGACACAGCGGGGCGCCGCGGGGCACCGCGGGGCGCCGCGGGGCGCCGCGGGACACCGCCGGACGGACGGACGGGCGGGCGGGGGATAATCATTTGTCTTGACTTTGTCCTAGCAGCGGCGGCCACCGCGGGGCGCCACGGGGCGCCGCGGGGCGCCGCGGGGCACCGCGAGCCACCGCCAGGCGGGCGGAAAAGGCAAGCGGGGGATAATCATTTGCATGTGTCTTCACTTCGCCTGAGCGACGGCGGAAGCCGCGGGGCGCCGCGGGGCGCCGCGGCGGGCGGGCGGGGGATAATAATTTGTCTTGACTTCGCCCTAGCAGCGGCGGGCGCCACGGGACACCACGGGGCGCCGCTGGGCACCGCGGGGCACCGCGAGCCACCGCCGGGCGGACGGGCGGGCGGGCGGGGGGGAATCAGTCGTCTTGACGTCGCCCTGACAACGGCGGACACAACGGGGCGCCGCGGGGCGCCACGGGCCGCCGCGGGGCACCGTGAGCCTCCGCCGGACGGACGGACGGGCGGGCGGGGAAGAATCATGTGTCTCGACTTCGCCCTAGCGGCGGCGGGTTAATCCTTCTCGCACGCCCGCGCAGCTTCGCATCGCCTCGCGACACGAACGAAACGAAGCGATTTCCCGGTTGGGGCATCCGTTCCACTGCGATCTCACACCCCAACCTCCGATTCATTGTGCCTGTTGTTCCTCGGTGAGGTGCGCAGGCATGGCAGGAAAAACTAGGTCGCCAATTCCTTCATCTGGCGAAGTGTCGGCATCGGTGTCTGCGTCGAAGTCGGACTCTGCGGGTTGTCTCGCCGAGCCCACTAAGGCGGTGGAAGGGTCACGGGCCGCCATTGCCGACGGACCCTGACATTGAGCCCAGCATTCTCGCGCGCCCGTGGGCTGGCCACCTTGCTGACATGATAACGTCGCGGCCTCCTCTGATTGTGGATCGCCGTTCCAGATGGTGCTGGTAGGTCGCCCCGCATGAGTGTCATTCTGAAAGACATCAGTGCGGTGGCCGAGGTTAAACGCCTTATCACTGTTACCAGGGGGTCGCTCAGCGATGTGGGCGTAAACCCTCATGCGCTCAAGTAAGGGGTCGACGTGATGCTGAGTCCTTGGCATTTGGTGGCTTAGTGGTTGTAGTAGTTGTTGCGCACGCGCAGCATGTGCACGCGAAGCACCGACACCTTGGACCATGAACCACAGGACTGACAGGATTTGGAAATTCGGGATGTTGAGCCCGCAGCGTCAACTTCAAAGCGTGCAATCTCGAAACGTGCAGCGCCTGGTCGAGCCGTTCTCCCGCATGGACGCGAAAGTCGATGAGAGCCGTCCCCGAATTCAGGTGTCTCTCATCTTCAAGATTCTCAAACTTAATGCTGGGGAGGGGCATTATAATAGTGACCCCATCGGTGTGGCGTCCACCAATGTTCACTCCAAAGTTGATTACTGCTGGGAGGACCCTCGTGGCAATGGTCCTTGCGAGACCTCCAAGGCCACGCTGTAGAGCAGCAGCCTGTTGGGAGGGAGTCATAGTGCCTGTGGTCAATCCAGGTATGTACCTCGCGAGCGAACTCGCAGAACAAGTACGTTACCGGCAGGGTCCCACTGGGGGCCGGTAGTGCGCGTGCTGTTTGCACCACGATGCATATGTCCAACAACATATCCGATGGCGACCCAGAGGAGGTCAAACATAGCGATTCCAATCCAGTGGCCTCGTAGGTCGGTGTCGGTTGCAGGTGGCTGTTGTTTGTGAGGTGACGTCGCCGTCAACTTGCGAGGAGGCGCAGGCGGCACGATGTCATAACGCATGTTACCATGCATGGTATCTTCGGAAAAAATGCCAAGTAGCGTTGGTGGGTGGACTTCAGGAGTGTAGTTTCGCAGAAATGCAGGGCTCAGGTCGGAGACCTCTGCGTGAACAAAGGCTTCAATGCAAATGTCCTTGCGATGGTCATGGTCTCCTCCGCGTAAAGCCACTGCGCCCTGATGGTCCACCATATCAGTAGACCACCAGATAGCGCGTGGATAGCAAAGAGTAGAGATAGAGCTGACCACCAACGGCCAACTCCGCTACCCAGTTTAAAGCAACTTGGGAGACCCAACCTGATACTTCGCCTAAGGAGGAATATCCGTCCAACCTTGTTGTATCGTATTAACGAAAATGCCAAAGGTAAGAAAGGACCGCGTGAGCGGCGAGGGAACATCTCAAAAATAATGGTGGCACCTTGTCTGTCTCGATGTAAATGGCGGGCCGCGGTGCGACCCGTTCAAATGGGCGGCCGGTCGCTTGAGCTCAAGCGGCCGCGGACAAACGCTCGACACCTGTCGCCTTTGCCCTTCCTCCTTCTGAGTCCCTCACCCTTTCGCGGCCTCAAGGGCAGCACCACCGAAGTCTCCAGTGGCCACGTTCGCATAACTTCTCCACACCATGTCGGCGCACCAGCACATGCTTCGTGGCCAAATAGGGGGCTCCACTGGAGGCCCCAATGGCTACGTTAGAATACCTCCTCCACATCTTTCCAGCGCACCCCTCAAACGTTTCGTGACCTCATGGGGGTTTCACCGAAAGCACCAGTTGCAATAATCGCATGCGTGACCGCGCCTATGTCCACACCTCTCACACGCTTCGTGGCCACATAGGGAGCTCCACCGAAGGCTCCAGTGGCAGGAATGCATGCGTAACCACGCCCACTTCGGCGCAGCTCTCACACGCTTCGTGGCCCCAAAGGGGCTCCACCGAAGGCATCAATTGCAAAGTTCGCATGCGTGACTGCGCCCATGTCGGCACACTTCTCACATGTTTCGCAGATCAGCCGTAACGGATGACATCCAGATGTAGCCCCTTATGGCCGCCCTCTGTGACCCCATCGGCAACGTGGCTCCGCCCTCCCCACGCACTCCTTAGTCGTTTTGCTAGCCCCCTTCCTGAGTTTCCACCTGTCTTGCGGCACTCGCAACTGCATATGGTTGGGTCCTTCGCTAAGCTAATTGACGCGCCAACACGCTTCCTCTCCGAAAATGAACGGTTGTTGGTGCGGAAAAATGCACCACGCCAATCTGTCGAAAAAGCTCACCTTGGACCCGGTAACACCAGGACAAACAAATGCGAGTGCCCAGAACAAGTTTCAATGATTGGTGGAGCGTCCTGCGTCTGGATAGGTGTGCATGTCTTTTTGTTGTTCCATCCCTGGGGTAGCATGGTAGCATGTCAAACTGACGCCGCATGTTGTCCCCTTCTGTCGTTGAAATTTCAGGTGTCAACCCTTGGCGTTTACAACTTCGTCGTACTGAATTGCATCACCATTGCTCGTTTGATTTTGATTCCGAACCAATCGAGCCTCTCTATTCGGATCCACGTTATGTTTACCTGTGTCAATGTACGAATTGTGTGCTGTCTCTCGGGTGACCTCGGGGGACACCGGAAAAGAAGCAATGAGTATGAGGCAGAGCAGAAACAGGGAGGATCGGTCGTACGATCGCCGATCTCACCCAGCCAGGGGTCTCCGAGATCATGGTCGATGACAGCGTGACAGCAGGACATACAAGCCAGAGAAGTCGCCCCGAGGACACCAGGACACTCTATCAAACATGACACTCAATTTTGGCACCTCCTGCTAATTTTTCGTCTGCTGGTTTCTGCCCACTGCTGGCGCAAAGCAGTCAAATAGGCCAGGCGGAAAAAGCTCCTCATCTCCCGGTGCGCCTGCGCCTTGCACTCTAATGCCGCCGCCTGCATGCAGGCTGCGTGGTGCAGGACGCTGCAGACGCATGGACATATCCCCAGACTGTCTTGCGGATTGTTACAACTTGTTTCTCTCGGCATTTTGACCCATCACTGCTGTCACAGCACGATGCTGATTCGTGATCGAATGTTGCCCAATGACGCCCGCGCACGTACCGTTGCAGGGGGCCGCCGCCGCCCCCCCGCGCACGTTGGTTTGATGCCCTGGAAAAACAAACATCAGAATCAGGGGGCCGATGCCCTTGAACAACAATTATCAAGAGCGAGGGGCACTACAGCATCACATAGGCCTCGGGCGCGAAGCTGAAAGGGGGGTCCGCGGTGCGGATTCTCGTTGCTGCTCTTCTCCCTGTCGTCCCCGCGACCCGTCCACTGGTGACCCGTCCTGCGACCCGCAAGCCTTTGTGCGAACCCGACCGCCAACGACCTGCCCACGACCCGTGCCCGACCCGCAGGCGACCCGCGCCAGCGACCCGCTGCGCCCGCGACCTGCCACCCCTGCAGACCCTGGCCAGCCAGGGCCACGTCGCGAACCCAGGCCGGCCACGAAGTATGAGACGAAGCCAGAACGAGGACAAACTCAGGTGAGAATAAGTCGGGAATCTCCGAGATCCTGCGGCTCTGTTGGCGCCGCGGCCTTCACAGAGCGCTCTGGAACGCTCTGAGAGCGTCCCGCAACGCATTGGAACGGATTTATCCTTGTCCTGGCCCCGTCCGACCAAACCCGGGTCAGAGAAGGGCGGGGGAGCGGGGTCGGCGCCAGGTGGCTCCCAAGCCCGGGTCAGCCAGATGACCCCCGTCACGTGAAGCCCCGAGCTCGTGTAGGGAGGTCGCTGCCAGTCAGCCAGCAAAATTCACGCACCGCGCGGGACAGTCCTCATAATTTCCCCATCGGGCAAAACACTTGGGAGTCTCGTGTGCAGAAGTGGGTGGCTGCAAAGGGCACCCGAGAGCACGCAAGTCTCTTCAGGGGAAACAGCTCTGCCCCAGGCGTGGACAGGACACGACGCGCTATGCACAAGACACGGGGGTACGTTGTCTTGCAGGGCCGAGCTGCTGAGCAGACCCGACAATATTCTGCGGGGGGCGGCCCAAACCAAAAGCGTAGGCAGAGCCGCTGGGGTCGTGCAACAGAACACTCGCACGATGCGACAACGTGAGCACCGTGCACAACAGGCACGCAAGAGAGGCACAACAAGAGCGCACGACCCTGACAACGGATCACGGTGTGCTAAGACGAAGCCAGGACGAGAACAAATCCGAGCGAGGATAACTACATCCGCCGACCCCTTGTGGGTCTCCAGGCGTGTAAGACTCTCCCCGCCATACTCCCCCCCTGGACCGCAAACTGGGAATTTGACCCCACCCCGGGCCGCGGACAACCCACCCCCGAACTCACCAGGGGGGAGAGCATGCTGCTTCGCATGAGTTTGGTGCAAATGCAATGAAGCTGAAATGGAGCCGTAAGTGGATCAGTCTTGCAGGTGGTATAGAAGCTATGATGTTTCTTTTTGATGGTGGGCCAGCTATGATGCCAGCCCGTGCCAACCCGTCCCGTCTCCAGGGACTTCGCATCCCCCTATGATGATGGGATAGGGGAGACGGTCCGCCGCCCCCTGCGCTGCGCGCACTGCGTAGGGTTAGTGGGGATTTTGGTTGAATTCTATGAGGATGCCCCCTGTCCCTCCCCCGCCTTCCTAATCATGGTCCGTTCGGCGATGGATGGTTCAAACCATTCTGGCTCAAGGTGGCGGGAAGCGTTGCGGGACAAATTGTTTGAAACGGCGCCCTCCTGAAAATCGGAATCCTCCTCGGGCCCTTTTGGAACGCCGAAACAGCCTCGGTCCCCAAAAGAGACCCTCAAGACAGTCCAAGACGGCCCCGAATCGCCGAAATATCGTTCCAAGACGCCCACGATGGCGTCCAAATGGCCCAAGATGCCTCCAATAGGCCCCAAGAGGCCTCCAACAGCCTCCCAAACAAAACCCCAAGAAGCAAACATTGTCCCATTCCTTTAAGAGAACGTATCTATTGGACGATTCGCCTCTGCTGCCTTCGCTACGTCCGAAACATCCTAGGAAGCCCCCACGAGGGCTCCAAAATGGCCCAAGGAAACTCTCAAAGACGGCCATAGAAACCCTGATGACGGCCCCAAAAAAACACCAAAACGGCACCTAGAACCCACCAAGACGGCCCAAGAAGGCCGTAAGACGGCCCCCAGAAAGGGCCTCGAGGCGGAACCCGACCAGAAAGTTCGACCTGTCCGCGCCAAGACGCCCCCATGTTGCCCAGAGAAACCTCCAAGAGGCCCCCGGGGACCCCCAGGGAACTCCAGGAAAGCTCCAACAAAACATGTCCGAGCTCCCCAGGAGGCCCCCAAGAGGCACAAAAACTGGCTACAGGACGCCCCCGAGAGGCCTCGCACGAGACCCCATCAGCCATCCGAGTGGCCTTCCGACCCACAACCCAATTCGGGGAGCTCGCACGCGGCCTCCAGATCCTAAACGCAACCCTGCGTATTTGGCCTCAGCTCGGCTCGCAAACCATATCATATTTGTTGATCCTCGTCCTTTTCGTCGTTGTCGTCGTTCTCCTGCTCCTCCTCCTGCTCCTCCTCCTCCTCACCTGCCTCCTCCTTCTCCATCTCCTCACCCCCTGCCTCCTCTTGTTCCCCCCAGCGGACCAGAGCACTCAAGCAACGGGCCCGAGTCCGCATTTTGCACAGGGCACTCGGTCCACCCCGCCCCCTCCACGTGGGGCTTGAGGGGCATCGCGCTTCCCGCACCTTGTGAGCAGTCAGTCGCGATGACTACGGCTCCCAGGGCGTGGTCGACATGTGCTGGCTGTGGGCGCCATGAATACAATGATGTCGGTCGGGGATGCAACAGGCCAGTGAAGTTGTACAAGCCCAAGAGCCAAAATCATAATCAGAGTAGCCAGTCCACGCAGGAAAAGAATGCTCTCGTCCTCAGCGTTCTGCCCCCTGCAGGCGCCTCATCGCTCGAGGCCCTCCTGGCGCAAGCGCTCGCGGCCACCTCTGACCCCGAGGCCAAGAGGGCCCTGGCGGAGCAGGCGGCGCGCGCGGCGCAGGTGAGCAAGCCGACGCTGCCGCCAGCCTCCTCGGCAGAGGACGCCGTGAGGAAGGCGGCGGGAGCGTGGCGAGACGCCGGCGCCAAGCTCGACCAAGCAGTCAGCCAGGTCGCGCGATTCAAAAAGAACCTCAGGAAGGCCGAGCTCAAGGAGCAGGAGATGGCCAAGTACCTGGCCGAGGCGGAGATCCAGCGGCGCCTTGCAGCCCGGGCCTTGCAGAAGGCCGTCGGCAGCGAGGCCAGCAGTGGCACCGCCAAGGCCGCGAAGCCAGAGACCAGGCCGAGCTCGAGAAGCTCGACAAGGTCGAGAAGGAGCTGCGCGAGGCGAAGGACAACCTCGCGCAGCGGTCCGCAGAGCTGTCGTCCCGGCGCAAGGAGGCCCTTGCGATCCAGGCGGCGGTGCAGGATCGCATGAAGAAGAAGAGGCGCGTCGGCGAGGAGGGCGAGGGCCGCGGCGGCGACGGCGAGCGAGGGCGCAGCAGCCCCCGCGGCTGCCGAGGCATCGCCCACCGCGCCCTCGGCTGAGGCGATCGCGGCAGAGGCGGCGAGGATCTCGGCAGCCAAGATCGCCGCGGCGACGGCAGCACAGGAGGCGCTGGCGCAGGCGGCGGCAGGCCAGGCAGCCGCGGGTCTCCACTGAGACTCTGCGGCGGGCCGCGCAGCCAGCGCTGCCTCAGCGCCCGACCCGCCGCCCGCCGATGAAGCATGTCAGGAGTCCACCCGTTGCGGGGGAGTGAGTAAGCTCTTCTTTGCCAAAGTCACGCGCTTAGGTCACAGAGCTTGGGATTTCCTCACTGATCAGCAACGGCTTCGTGGTTGCGACTACTTTGGTGTAGTTGAGTCGCATGTCTGCACCCGCTCTCGGGGCGAGTGGATCGCCGAGGCGCGCAGAGTGAAAACCATGTACATTGACAACTGTGCCCGCCCTTCTGGGAGAGGCACCACTACAGCAGCTAGGAACAGGGCGAACGAAGGAAGGAAACTCGTTCTTGCCCAAGGTCATCGTCACCTTCATCGTCTTTTCGAGTCCGCCAAGGAAATTCCTCATCTTTGTGCGGACGGCCACGAGCAGCTGGACGGCTTCTTGCCCGTGGTGCTGCACCAGCACAGCTTCGGCGTCATCGTGGTCCTGTTATACGGCCGCCCTTCCGTGGGCTTCCACGGCGGCAACGCCCAGCGGTATGCTCGTCTTGGTTCGTTCCTGCGGACGCTCCGGATGCCCTGGATGGTGGTCGGTGACTGGAGCATCGACGTAGAGGTTGTTCGGCGCTACAACTTTTTGCAGAAGACACAGGGTCACATCGTGAAGGCCCCCGTGCAGTGCGCGCAGGTGGGAGGTAGCAGAGACTCCCACCTCGATTTCACTGTAGCTAGTACCACCTGCCTCCCATACATAGTCAGCGTCTCAGCAGTCAATGATGTTCCCTGGGCCCCACATTGTGGCCTGGATATCCGTCTTCGCAGCTCGGGACAGCAGATGATAGCCAGGAACTTGCTCACTGCCCCCCGTCTGCCTCAGATGTCTAGACCCACCGCGGCCGCTCAGGCTGACTCCGAGTCCAGGCGGGCGCGGGCTCAGCAGGCTATTCGCGCGGCGTCGGCGCGCGAGAAAAGATGTAAAGTTTGTGCGGCTCTTTTTTTCTGACCTTCTCCAGTCCCGCTCAAGTCAGGAGCAGGAGGAAACCTCGGCTGGGGGTGACGTCGAGAGACCTTCGGCTACTGACGGGGTCGGCGACACAGAGGAGTTTTTAGATGTTGATCCTGTTTTTTTCGGCTCGGGGATCCCTGACTTCGATGAGGAGAGCCCGTGGGCCGACGAAACGTGTTTTAGACCTGCTTATGTTCCTGCCCTGTCTTCGAGCTTTGAAGCAGGTCGTGCTGGTTCATCCTTGTGCACCT